TATGGGTGTATTTATGTGGGTTAGTGATGAGGGGGCATTGATGCCTTGTATGCGGAGATCCCTATATAAGGAGTCATATCCCTCATTTGTACTCATTCCATCAAAGTAATACAACTATAGAGTTCTCCCATCTTCCTTGTCTTGTTTCCTTGCTTCTTTGCTTGCTTGAGAGTTTGAGAGAAGGCTGCCTACCGCTCTAACAGAATTGAGAGCTAGGGCCGCACAATCGAGAGTAAGGTCGTGACAAGTGGTATTATAGCCCCGTTCGGCTTTGTGCTAGCAAAGAAGAAGAAATAGCCAAACGAAAAGGAAGAGCCTCACCAAAAATGTCGGGATCAGATAGCGGCGTTACCGATGCAAAGAAGCAACGGGGAAGAGATCCCAACACGGGCTCGAGGCCAAAAGGTACGTCGGGCACTCGTGATCCTCTCAAGTCTTTAGAGAAGCGAGTCTCTCGCACTAAAAAACAACATGGTGGCCCAAGCAAAGGGGGTAAGTACGAACCAAAACCCGTATCTTGTTTCCTTTGCGATCGACCACATCGAGTGGAGCTCCCTATATAAGGAGCCACATGCTACATGCGGCCATCGAAGTCACCTTTTGAAGCACCGGTGCTGTTCCAAAAGAAGAAGGAAGGGTCGTTGCGCATGTGCATAGACTATAGAGCCATTAAAAAGGTTGACGGTGAAGAACAAGTGGCCGATTCCCAACATTGCCGACTTGTTCGACCAGCTTGGAGATGCGATGTGGTTAACCAAGCTTGATCTTCGCATGGGCTGCTATCAAGTGCGGATAGCAGAGTGTGACGAGCCAAAGACGGCTTGTGTGACGAGGTATGACCCTTATGAGTTGCTTGTGATGCCATTCGGTGTCTCCTTTATCGTTTTCTACATAACAGAACCCGAAAATAGTAGAAGGGTTGACAATGGAGTTTGGGAAGCAATTAATCAAACACCATCAATCAGGGATACCCATCCTAGAGATGGACAGTTTGTCGGTGGTGAATTGCATTAGAGATGATGGCCAGAACCATACGGAGTTGATGCATTCGCACGACTGGGGCCGCGTGGCCCCGTGATGCATTTTCGGCTTTACTTATTATTTTACTTAATTTCGGTTTATTTGGGTATTTTCGGTTTATTATCTTGTTTAGGAAGCATTCGGGTAGCAGTCATAATCGGTATGGATTACCGTGTTGGTGAGGGATAGGGTTTATGGGATGTGTCCTATAAATATGTACTTACCCCTTACGTTTTATTTATCGAAGGAGAATAAATCCTAGTATTTTCAGTTTTCTTTAGTTTTCGTATTCAAGTTCAAGACGCGTGAGGCTGTCACGCGTCAGGAGCTCATAGTTATATGCATTGACTGTGAAGCGTTTGCTTGACGAGATTGGAGGTGGCGGATGTAGACATATGAATCGGATAGCTAACAAAGCGACACACGTAATGGCGCACACGAATACGAGATGGGAGGAGGCTGAGGTTTGGTTTGACCGACCTCCTATGAGCTTGTTTGATAAGCTGGAACGGGACTCTGTAATGATTTCAATTGATTAGAGCTAGAGGTAGCCTTGGGTCGTGAGAGGGAATAATTGCCTCATTCTCCTTGATTTCGTCCTCTCTTCAAGAACTGGCAGCCAGTAATATAATAAACAAGTTAGCAGAGAAATGACATTGCAGTCCCCAGCCATGTGCGTTCCCTCTTCCCCACAGGCCACAGCTTAGGACAAAAACACCCTGCTACCAGTAATCAACTCATAGTTCACAGACACACACTACTCTTCTCTGGCTGTAACAGTGAAGACAAATTCTAAAGGCACTTAGATATTTGACTTATGAAAACCTCTCTAGAGAGCCTCCTCCTGGCTTCCTTCTAGAGTTCCCCATACAATTTCAAAGACATGGTGGAACCCTACCAAGTGGCAGCGGGAGGGGCACTTCAATTTTGAAACGGTAATTAATATCATATAACCCATCAAGTCAAGCCCTCTAGCTAATACAATTTTGTCTATCTATGTAAGTCGCTTTCTTAGTGTTTCCTGGAAAATACATAATGATAGGCGAGCAAGTAAGTTAATGAAGTAACATTCCAACACTGCATCGAACCTCCCTCCAATTTTCTACCGTAAACATTCTTGACCCCTCCCTCCCTAGCTATTGTTTAATAATCGCTTCATTAGCTGTAGGTAGAATTTAGGGCTAGGGTTTCAACGCATAAACACGCAAGGAGAATTTTCAAATCTTGATAATATACTCTGAGAATGCCATGTGGGGAAAATAATTAACTAATTGGGGATGAATCGGATGATGAAGAAGAAGGAGAGGAAATCAAACAAAGATGCGTAGCTTATTATTATTATTATTATTATTATTATTATTATTATTATTATTATTATTATTATTATTATTATTATTATCTCCCCAGGCAGCTAGCTGCCCCACAGTCACAAACAATATTCTCTGCCTTGATACAAAGATGGGCACAAAATTAGCAAGGATTAAACAATGGAATGATTACATTTTGCTGGTGGCAATTTTGGAAGGACTACACATATTATATATGAACAAGTTAACTAGGAGAGAGGAAAGAGGAGGCAGATACATACAATACACAGCAAAACCCCTCAAAAAGCGATGGAACACAACACAGGCAGATGGACTTATGTGGAGGATTCATTATTGAATGAAACCCTAAAACAGATCAGATCCACAAATCATATAAACCAAAATAAAATAGAAACCCAGAAAGCCAATCTTTGTGACTGTGCCTTTGGTTTCTGCTCTCTCTCTTTTTCGGTTTGTCTGTCATGAAAGGGTGTCAGTCAGTAAACTAAGTCAGCCCAGTCGTAGAATAGGAAAGGGTGCCCTTAATTCACCTTCTTCCATGCAACTACACAGAAACAAAAATCTCTTTTGTTCTTTCTTCGTCCCTCTGCGCTGCCCTAGAACCCGAGTTGGCTTTGCCTCCACTTTCTTTTATTATTATGTTTTTGTTACGACAGACACACAAACAGACATTCCAATTCCGACTCGGCCATGTTGACTCAACTAGTCTACTTGTGGACACACATATATACCTGTTTCCTCGAGAAAACCAAATGCCACCGCCGGTGCCGAATTCGTTTTCGGCGATGTTGATTCGATGTTTCGCGGTGGAAACTCTTGCGGTGCCGCTGATCGGACGCACCGCTGAATGTTGCAATCAACGTGACCGTCAAATATCTGCCGCCGAAATGTCGGCGCCGTTGATTTGATCGATGCACCTCTGAATGGTGAAATCAACGTGACCGTCAAATATCCACCACCTGGCGATGTTGATCTGATCGATCCACCTCTGACTTCTAACCAAGACGACCGTTACTACGGTTCGCACCTCTCCAAACTACGTTCGAACGAGGGTGTTTGAGTTTTGAGGAATCTACGCTACCGCTACTCCTATGGAGATTCCTGTGGAGAGCTCCGCGACTACGGCTAAGACTACAACTATGGAGATCCTTCCTGGAAGGAGAGCTCCGCGAAGGAGTTACAGAGAAAAGGTAAAGTTTGAACAGAGTTGATCTGTGTTGATTTGGTTGTCCATTTCTCTCTCCTTGCTCCACTGCTTTTATTCGAAAAACTGCTTCGTAGTCTTCACGCTCGGTGGAACCGCTTCCTTAACTGCTCCGTTGTGAAATCCCACGTGTCTCAACCGCTTCGCTCCTCAAACTGCTTCGCGTGAACTTTACGTGAGTTGTTTTCATGATCCCGCGATGTCGTTTCCTTTCCCAAACAGCTCCGCTTGATTCTACCCGCGACATCGTTTTAATATGAAACGACTCCGCTTCCAGCCTTGCGGTGTCGTTTTCTTTCCCAACCAGCTCCGTTTGTTTTTTTCTTCCGCGACACTGTTTATTATTAAACACTGTCGTTTGCTAGTATAGCGGTACCGTTGGGCTTCCCCCCAGTACTGTTTTTAATTCCGCGGCACCGTTTTAGCTCTCCGTGGTGCCGCTTCTCCCCATCCAACAAGGAATAAAAATAACAATAATTAATTATAAACAAAACTCCTTTTCCAATACCCAACTAACCGCGCGGCCCTTTTTTTTATTTTCGGCCAGCGGTGTCGTTTCCGGTGTTGTGGTACCGCTGAGCTTCCTTGCGGTACCGTTTTTTCAGTTTCGCGGTACCGTTTTAACTCTCCGCGACACCGCTCAACTCCAAACAACACCGTTTTTTACCCGCGGCATCGACTTAAATGCCGAGACTAATTAATGCGGAATTTAATCCCGGCAAATTAATTTTAGGTGTCAACAATACCCTATCAGATTTTCAAGACACTACTCTCCTCCTTACTTAGCAGTTTAGCACACCCCACCACTGGACTAGCTGCTTCGCATCAGGGAATTTCTCGATAAACAACACAATGGCCAGCCATCCGAATAATTCAAGAAAGAGAAAGAGAAAGAGATATGACAAAGATATATATAATTAGCCTAATATTAATGATGATGATAATACTTAACTGTTAAAATGTTTTCCCATCAACAAATACCTATGAAACAAAGATACACAACAAAACATCGAATAACTAACCAAATCCATGCATTTGGGTTCCTAGAAATCATCAATTTACTTTTGTTGGTCCGTCCAATAGAGTAAAAAAAAAAAAAAAAAGTTAAGAACTTATCAATCAACCATAAATAATACAACCACTCTTCAATATGTTCATCTTTTTTCCGGAAAATAATGCGCTTATATGTACATACAATATATTATGAAAGAGATGATCCAGAAGCAATGGGAAAGACAGAGAGAGAGAGTGATCGCAGAGGCAGGAGTTAAAGTGTGAGACTGATCCCCCATCACCAGAAAAGCAGATTAAGGAGAAAAATTGGGCCTGAATTGAATAGCTCAGTAAAGCCCAAAAAGGAAGAATGAAAAGCCAGAAATTAACATATGTATATGTATCATCACTAGTACATGACCACTCATCAATCAATCTAAGTTGATGGAGGGAGGCTAAATACTGTTTACCTTAGGCGGCCGATCTCCAAGGCCGAGGCGGAGTTCCAGATCCAACTCCAACTCCGACTCCTCTCTCAAACAAGAAGCAGCACCTGGAGCAGCAGGAGGAGGATTAGTCTTCATCATTTCAAGCACCACCTCTTGACGACGTCGTGCCAGCCCACTTAACATGGACGCCAAACCCATGGACGCCGCAACCATCTCATCCTCTTCCTTCTCTTTCGTGAGGTGACTGCCTCGTCGAAACACCAAATTCAAGCTCACCGCCGACAAATCCGATCTTGGATTGCTACATCTCCTCCTCTTAGTGTAGATTTCTTCCTCCATACCAACCTCCATAAAGGGCCTCTTTCTGCTTACTTCTTCTTCTTCTTCTTGGGGTGCTGAAGGGAAGAAGGACTTGTCGGAGCAGCTGTTGGTGTCGGCGGAAACCCTAGGAGAGCGTAGTGGTGGATCGGGGCTAGGGTTAGGGCTACAAGCGGCGGGCGCAAGTTGGAGTTGGCGAGCGAGCGAAGATGGCGGATGAGGAGCCGTTGTGGGACTGGGAGAGTGTTTGAGCCTGGCTCGATCCCGCCTGTGGACGTTCATGTGACCGCCGAGGGCCTGCGCGGACCTGAATTCGCGCCCGCAGAAGCTGCACGAGTAGGACCGCGGCGGCCATATGCACCCTCCCACTCCTCCTGCCGCGTCCTCTGCAAACGCCTGCTCCTCCCACGAGTACGAACAAGGAGCTGGCGGCGGCGGCGGTGTGGCTGCTAGTTGCGGAAGATAAAGGTGATGACGGGAGGAATGGTTGAGTCTCGTCATATTATTATGTGGCCTTTTCTTGGTACTGTCATCCCACATCCAATACAGTGGTGGGGGTTGCTCCATTCAAACCATCTACCTCTACATCCAAAGACCTACCTAGCTAGAGAAGAAGAAGAAGAAGAAGAAGAAGAAGAAGAAATTTAGAAGCGGAGAAAGAGAGAGAAGAGAGGTAGAGATGGCGAGAGTTAACTAGGAGGGTTTTCTTTTGCCAACTTGTGTTGTGGAAGGTGAATGGTGGGCATACTCTGGCTTTGGCTCTGCCTGGGGGAGGAGACCAGTTTTTCAGCAACTTGATTTGGATTTTTCTCCATCGGTTACCACCAACGTGTCCACTGCCTACTATGCCCACACTTCATTTTTTCTTCTTCTCTAATAATACAAGTACGGTAATTTAATTTAATTCATGAGCACTTCTACTATGCTATATAGCATTGGTGCTTTAATGTATAACTTAAAGTTGTATTATAACATTAAATGTATAAGTTTAGGTTGTACCATAAAGCAATTTGTACTATTATGTTATGGTACAATTTTACAACTTGAAGTTGTACCATCATATAAAGATACAAGTTCAAGTTGTACCATAAAAGAATTTATATCAAAAGTATAGGTACAATCTGAAGTTGTACCATAACGTAAATGTACAATTTTAAGTTATACCATAAAGACAAAAACCTATAGCACCAATACTATATAGCATTGTAAAATTTCTCTTTAATCATCCTTAATTCCTTTCTATTTTGTGCGGGGTAAATGTCTTTGCCTCTGTCGTTGTGTACCGGAGTAGCATGTTAAGTACGTTATTGTTTGTTTGCTATTCTACTCCTCTATCCCCTTCCCCTTAAAAGAAAAATTAACAAAAAAAGGTGCTCTTTCTTCTTCCGTGAACAATTACCGCCTCGTTGGGAAACGGATCAGGTCAGTAACCTTATGGTGAGTAACTATGAGTAACCCGCCCACATCAGCATGACATCAGCATCCTCTCTCTTCTGGAAAGTCTTTAATTTTCCCCTCCTTAATCTTTGACGGACGATTTCTCACTTGTTTTAAGTTGAAATTTATTTTTTTTTGCACAGTTAGATAAGATTAATTGTGCTCTTCAAAATGATATCCACTTTGATATATTTTACGAACAAAAAATTTGAGCCATTTTTTACCAGTCTATACCATATGGTATTGACTGGTATTGAAATAAGAGCATACCTATGGTTTGAAAAGCGTACCATGGTGGTATGACACAAACCAAAACTGTAGGATGGGTGAATACATGGTAGTAGAAGTATATTAATTGTCATTTACGACTTTTAACATTGTATACCATAAGATACCATAAGATACCACCCCGTACCAGGGTGGTATTGTATGGTATTGTGTGGTATTTTTTGGTCTTGTAATTTGTTCAACCAGAAATTTGAAGATCCAATAGATCATGATGAACTCGTCCCTGCTGTGCAAACGTTTTCAAAAACGAATTAAAAACCAAGAAGATACCATATGGTATGCAGTTGGTACCGAGAGGCCAGAATTTTTTTTCCTAAAAAAATATTGAAAATTGATCTCATTTTGTAGAGCACGATGAACTCGTTCCATCTGTGCAAAAAAAATTAAAATCCGAGTTAAAACGAAAAAAATATGAGTCAATTAAGAAAGCTAGTGAAAATAAAAATTACCTTTAATTCTCCATCTTTAGATCTGGATTTTCTAAATGAAGGGTCCAAATTTGTACGACCTTAATCGTCATTTTGCTTTTATGTTCATTCACTTCATCAAGATGCAAGGTGAGTTCGATGTTGCTTGAGTCTCAAAAATCTCCTCTTGTAGTCAGTAATACCCTTTCTTATTTGTGTAGTTATGATTTTTCATTTTCTTTCGTTTCACTTCAGTATTTGGCAAAAACATCCGCATCGAGCTAATGGCTCCTAGAGATGCAATGTGCTTGACTGTTCTCATTCGATCACTAATGTTCTTTTTTGTGGTAGCTAGGTGATCATCTAGATGTTCAATATGAATGATTCGCCTCACGCTTTGAAATGTGCCGTAATTGGGAAGTTCAGGTGTTGCAATATTAATAATCTCTATAGCGTGATTCGTTTCTTTTAGTGCCTCGTAGGTGACATAGGACTGTCCATATCGGAACAAAAATTGTCCTCTCGTAGTTGGTTCATCGTCTTATTTGTGTGACCTATAAAGGTTCTTTATATATTTGTATCTTGCTATTCCATTCCAAAATATATCTCGCAGAAAAAAATTGCAACCGTGATTGAATCTGTTATAATACAGAACCACATATTGATGGTTGAGATTAGATATGATGTAATCTAATGGTCATCTTTGCATAGTGGTGAGGGAAAGTAGTGGTTTAAGGGGCAGCTTGACAGATTTTTGACGGACTGAGCAGTTAATGCACTTTTGAAATCCCATACGAAACATCAACAGATGATATATCATTTTTGTACATTGGTTTTCAAGAATAATTACCTAGAAATATTAGATTAATATGCTTTATAAGGTGATATCCATTTTGATATTCTTTGTGCGGATCATAATTAATGAATTCTTTCTATGTGAAAATTAAATTCTAAGTAATAATGAAGAAGAAAAGCTATCATACCACTTTGATATTATGACGATATGATAATAATAAGATTTCATCAAACACGTGATTTGATGGACGTATTTTTTTGTGTGCTCAAAATAGAACAAAATGATCATAATTGTGTAGATTATAACTAATGCTTTTGTATGCAAATTTTCTAATATACCATGTTAAGATGGTGAAGATTTGACCCAATTAAGAAGAATGTGAGATTAGAAAAAATTGATTTTGACTGGTTTAAAATCTTCTTTCTCTCCTCCAAATATCATGTCAGCCAAAATAAAGCAAATAAAAGACGAAGATATGTACATAAATTATCGTCCGTCCGTTCTTATTTCTATATGACTTGTGGGCTATACTGATCAAAGCTACTAAATGGCTCAATATATATCAGAGTTTTACAGAATTTGTTTTCTGCAGATCCTAATGACGAATTACATTTCTGCGATAAACAAGAGTCCTTGTATAATGGTACAACTGAAATTCTCACTATTTCCCTGTCTTCCTTGTAATTTGCCGGAATTTAGACTTGTATAATTAAACCTTCTCTAATTAATGTAGGACAAAGCTGCCATTGTGTAAACTAATATATACTTAGTTCGTCCGAATATAAAGTCATGTAACAATAGCATGGTTCGAAAAGGCACGATTAACCTTACGTTTAGGCACGCTTAGGCGTAAGATAATGGCAAAACGCCTCGTCTAGGGATTTTGCGACTAATTAGATACTGAAACAAGTCAATAGAGTAAGACGACATATAAGTCTCTCCTAAACATTATTAGATGGAGCTAGGCGAAATCGAGATTAACGGAGAAAATTAATGTCAACTACAAAATCAAATTCTATATCAATATTTTCAATAGCTCAAGAACTTTGAGATATTTAGCTATGATTCTATGAATTCTTAAGCTATGATTTTGTCATTAAGTGTTGAGTTAGTTACTAATCATTTCTCTGAAGTGAGAAAATGTTGTAGATTATTATTTCATTCATCATGTAGTGCAAATAGCTATTTTTCATCCAACGCCTAGACACGCTTAGCCTACGTCTAGGCGAGTTAGGCGCTAGGCGAAATTTCAACGCCCGCCTTACGTCTAGCGCCTTTTGTAACCTTGAACAATAGTAAAGAGAAAAAGATACTATAATAACCATATTTTCTTACAACAAATAAATAGAAATTCAGTGAACAGTAGTAATTGTACTAGTAGTGGTTTTGTGAATGGCGGATCCTAAAAATCAGTGTTATTAATTTGTATACATGGTGACATTCAATATGAAAAACAGATGGTGACAAACCGAGAGACATCTCTAACTGAAATCAGTGTTCACAATCTGAAATAAATAAAGACACCTACTGAATTTTGGGCTATCTTCATGGCTTATGCTACAGGCCTACATCTATACGCATCACATTATTATATTGTGATGATATATATCTTCATCACCTTCTTTTGCTGTCTTTTTATACACGTAATTACGTACATACAAGATACAACTATATAAGCTCCAGTCCAGCAGAAGCAACATTTGTACAATATATTTCAGGGTTTTAAGGCATGTTTGAAAGCAGGGGCAGAGCCAAAATTTCGAGATCGAGGGTCGAAAATAATTGAAAAAATTATGTAATCAATATGGATCAAACCCGTTTGCTTTAATACACAAGTTAAACTTGGTTATCATTAGACCACATAATTATTACATGACAAATTTACAGATAGGTTCTATCTATAAAGTTTGTACTAAATATCCTTAAGAACATAGGTGCTAGGACCAATTCCGGGGGCACCCTAGCTACAATATAGCTCCACCCCTGTTTGAAAGTTAGATCCTTTAAATTGATGTAGTATTTAATCAATGTATGTATTTTAATTAGATGCATTGTTTCAATGTATGAATTTGAAAAAAATATATTGTTTGGAGATTGAATGATTTGATGGTCCTTCAAAAAATAAAGAAGAAAAAGTAAGCTAACAATCTCTCAAACACAATCTCTGCTAAAAGCTGAGATTGACAATCATTCATAATGAACGATTCTGATGATTCCATCTGCTATTTAAATACAAGCATTCTATTTCATTTCCAGGAAAAAAAATCTAATTATATATTGACTAAATGTATCATCTAAAATCCAAACTTCTAGTCCTTACTCTACCTAAGGTGGGGGAAAGGCAAAACGGACCAAAATCATTCACAAGGTGGAGGAGTCATCCAACATCGACGGTGAAGCTGTCAAATCAACTTCCTTATTCATTAGCGATAGTACAAATTCGGCCTATGTCAGTATTTTTTTTTGTCAAAAGATATCATATATTGATCAGAATAAATAGATAGTTACATCCTGGAAACCAGCTAGGCGCGGAAATCAAAGAAGCGACACATAGTCGGATACAAAGAGAGAGC